AGTCAATAGTAAACATATAACCCACTCCGGAGTACTCCAGAAGCGGGTTATATGTTTTATTAATGTCTGGAGTACTCTATTAACAACCCTAGTTATATTAAAATTTATATATACTAATCACGCCCAAATCAAAAGTTTATCACAGCAGCGATAATCATTCGGTCAATTTTTACCAGATGTCTCAAAAATTATAAAAACACCTGTATTGATATAGTATTTTCGCTGATACGTAGATAAAGCCACACAAAGTTAATTTTTCGTTTTGCATAACCTTGTGTTCCAAAATTCCAATCGGCGGGTCGGATATTTTTTTTAATCTACCGCAAATTATCGCTGTTTTCGAAATGACCAACAAAAATTTTTTTTGTGAATACTATAAATAATTGAATGCTCAATTATATCGGCACAATAATAACATTGATCAAAAATTGATTCCAAATTATGTACGTTGAAAGAGTGTAAAGTGGTTCAGACTTGGGGAAAATCGTGTAATACGGATATCAACTTAACACTAAACTACTCCAAATCAACACTAAACAACCAAACTCTACCCGACCCTAATGTTGGAAGGCAGAAAGAGGCGTGGAGAGACTTGGTCCGAGTTATTAGGGCAAAATAGAGCTCTAGACTACGTCACGAAGCTCTTATACGGAATCACGGGTTTATAAGGCAGATTATTATCGGGAAATTGGGTAAATGAATGCTTATGAGTTATGACGCGAAATGAGGAACACTAGCGGGTTATGCCAGCTCTCGTTAGTTAGTTATATTTAAGAGAAGTAGAGTCGCTTTTATAGTTTTTACATGACTATTACAATACAGGTTTGAATAAGTTACATTTGACCGCGAAAAGTACTAAAGCTAATAAGTCGAATATAGTGAAGAAATTAAATAAAGCGATTATATTCGCAAAAGAGGCTAAAGCTACTAAAGCTAATATTTCGAACAAAGTAGCTAAATCTAATAACGTGACCAAAGTTACTAAAGCGATTAAGTCTAACTAAACAAACTGATGGAACAAATCCTAAACTCGAAGTTAAGTAACATATAATAGTAATGGTAACGGTATTGGAATAAAATAATAAAATATAAAATAATAGAATAATAATAAAATAAAATAATAATTTTACAGGGGCCCCTCACAACGTACATATAGTAATTGTTATTATTGCTAATGTAATCGAGTATTCAGTATTCATGATATATACAAAAAATTTTTTTCTTGTTATTTTCAACATTTCGAAAACAGCAATAATAGATTCATGCTCACGTCTAGGGCCACGCAAAGTTAATTTTTCGTTTTGCATAATATGGAATCGGAAATTTTTTTATCAGACCTATCGAATAATTCCGGAAGATTAAGCCCACCATCGGGTGACACTGGATAAATTTATGGGAAAATTTTAAATAGCAAAAATGGAATAATTGGAATAATTGGAACTAAAAAAACTTCTTTTTTGGAAATTAGGTCACGGGTTATGCAAAACGAAAAAATGGAAATGCACTATAGTCAGGGTTGTAAAATTACGGTAATTTATTGTAAGTTACCAAAATGGTAAGTTACTGGTAAGTTACTGTAAGTTACCGTGAAAGTAATCTATGCTTTATTCCGAAAGTATCCGTGCTTCATGTCCGTTAATTGCCTACTATTACGAAATTTACGGACTTTCAAATGTGTATTTGGTATCCTACCATGGTAACTTACGGTAACTTACCGTAATTTACCGGTAACTTACCACGGTAAGTTTACCACTAACAACCCTGACTATAGTATTACTAAAGCTTAAAGTGATATAAATTTTTAAGCATAAATCTGTGTTACAGCTATTATCATAATTTCAGGGTCACCTGTAAAAATTTGCCGAATGATTTTTCGGCCGATCCGGTTAAGTTATAGATTTCAGGAATCGTATGGGCGGAAATCTTCAATTTTGTGATTATTTAAGTTGAATGATGAGATTAAATAGGATTTGATCCAATAATATATATGATACAGTGTGATTACTAATATTAAAAGTGATTATTTGTCGGTGTTTGTAAAACTGCTTATGAGTTACTTATCAGTTGCTTATCAGTTTTTATGAGCAGTATACCGAACAGATTAGCTAAAAATAACCCGGAATGATCCAAAATTGATCCATTACGAGTATAAGGCCACGCAAAGTAAATTTTTCGTTTAACATTACATGGAATCTGAAAATTGGGTCGGTCGGTCGATTATTTTTTTTTTATTTTTATTTTTTTTTTAATCTACTTTAAATTAATAGAATTATGTTCGTATTTTAAGGTTATGCAAAGTTATTCTTTTTTTTGCATAACAAGGAATTAGAAAATTGGTTGGCTGTCGTTTTTTTTCTGTCGGTCATATTGGATAATTCTGGGATATAGGGTGTCTCCATCGGGTGATACGGATAAAAATTGCAGAAAAATAAATAGCAAAAATCGAATAATTGGCACAATTGAGATGTAAAAAAAAAAAAAAAATTTTAGAAAAATTAAAAAAATGGGTCGGCGGGTAATGTTAAACGAAAAATTAACTTTGCGTGGCCTTATCATTATTTTGTCAATCCAAAATATACACTCCCTGCAGAAAAGCATCTACCTTAAAAAACACGAGCTTTAGTTACCAATATATTTACCAGAAACAGAGTGATATATAATATCACAAGTGTATGGTTTATAGGCATTTTTAGTGATGCATGTCGCAAAATCTCATGATTGATTATACAATGCATTAAATGCAATTAAACGTGAATTCTGCACTTTAACTTCACGATCATTACATTACATAGTATTATATATATATATATACGTATATATGATAGTATGAAATTCGGTTAACCATTACAAACGTTCAACCTGTATATTTTATTGTTTTAACAAGTTTTGGTCTCAATTAAAGTGAATGACAATCATTTATCATTATAAAAAAGTACCTTTTTTTTTTGTCCTTCGAAATTGAACTAACCAAATATGAATTGTTGCCAACTGTCTTTCAGATAGCCTTCAGAGGCTAACGGCTTATCCGAAGCAAGTTTTAGCTGCATAATGGTGCCGATCAAAGCAAATTAGCTACAGCTTTTAACTATGGTTCAGCATCAGCTGCAACGAATGGCTTTTTAAAGTCATAGCTCCAGATTAAGCCATAGTTATTGAAGCCAAAACTTGTGTCATGACCTGAGCCGTGGCTCAAGCTGTGGTAGATAATACCGATACATGTAGATACAGTAATAATCATTTTAGAGCAATATAAAATTTAAAGAAGCTATGCAAGCGTTAACAACTCTAAAAAATCTTTAATAGGCTAAAATTGGTCTACAAAACTCTTTGTCGTATAGTGTCGGGTTTTCACATGACATTTCAATTAAGTACCTTCAGGACTTTTCTTATTTAATAAATTACATATTAACAATCAATATATTAATTAATTTCTCGTTTGGATTTTTATTCATATTGATTTAAGGTTTTCTCAAGCACATAAATCAATAGGTTGGAGCTCAATCTTAATTGATGGAAATTAGTTTGACAGTAAGTAGATTCGAAAAAAAAGGTTGATTGGCTAAAATTTATTATCCACATTTCACGATATGAATTTTCAGCAAATTACAGTAAGAATCGCTTCAATAAATCATAATACTTATGCACGAACTTGGTAGCCAGTTAGTCACATTGAGAGCATTCTTAGTCTCTAAGTTTAGCAATTGGGGTCTTTGCCTTGAAAATCGAGTTATAGAACATAGTAAATCATATGTCCCATACTTGATTTTCAAGGCAAAGACCCAATTATTTATTGGTCTAATTGGTTTAAGTATTTAATATGAATAGTTCACTTCTCGTTTTCTTATCCGTATTAGTCTGTATAATTATCATCTGTCAAGAACATTTTTAAATTATGTAGATTAGTATGACCAGATGTACGGTATGGGTGTGAAATATCTCTATTTTTAATGTCTGTTCTGACGTTATGTGGTTAGCATTAAAAATTATAGTGGATTGGTATAATAAGTTTTTTTAAAGAGGTATCTTACATTATATATTATATACATCTTGAAATCTTAAGAAACTTCTATGTATTTAATACCTGAACTCAAAACTATTTATAACTATTCTGTTGCCCAAAATTTTTTAAATTAAGCCTACATTCATCTGTTCCTAGTTTAGCGTGACAATGTCACGCAGCTACTTATATTAATAAAAATTGTTTATATATTTACATAGAGAACATATTTTTCAAACCTATTGTTCTCAAAAAAAATTCTATAGAGAACATCTTAAATTTTGTAAATGTTCCCAAATTAAAATTGATGTTCTCATGAGAATATAAGATCATAAGATTTCCAACACTGGTGAACATGCTCGAGATAAAGTATTGTATAACCCGATTTAAAAAAGGCATTATTTAAACACCAAGCTGCGCGGTGAAATGTATTGGAATTTAAAAATCGAAAAATTTTAATGAGATGCTAGACACGTTAAAATCTGAATTTTTAGCATATAATGTAATAGAAAGTGTTTGGCTGATGTTTATTATTTTTTGCTTTTGTCAAAGTCTTCGATGACATTATAAAAGTTGCACGAACATTGATTGAAGTCTTTATTTAATCTATCGTAGAATTGAGAATTACTACAGATAACCAGAAAATTAATGAATATAAAAGCAATTACTTTTCGTCTTGTCTCTTCAAGATCACATATGTAACGTAATACTTAATTTTAATAATGCTTATGACATGTAAATCAACAACGATTATATGCACAAGTGCTTTCAATATATTCAATTCACTTCACTTAATCACGGACAACATGTAATTCTGTAAATTGTATATCCACACTAATTTTTTCAATAAGAGATTATTTTTTCAGTATTACATGACTTCGAAAAATATTGAAATTGAATACCCAAAATTAATTAATTTATTACTTAAATCTTAAATAAATCGTTGTATATTAATCTGTGTTGTTTTAATAGTAAAATAACACATAAATGTATATCTATTTTTTTACCTTTCATTTAAAATTTTTATAATATTTTCGAATGAAAAAGAGATAGAGATATAAAGTTTCGAATGATCTTGAGCTCGACTGAATTCCCATTCCAACTCTAAATCTGAAAACATTTCCATTAAATAATCTCCAATTTGCTTTTCCATATTATCTAAAGTAGGATAATAAGCATTAGAGTTCTTAAATTTAGATAAACAAAACTTTTGTAAATCTTGTAAATAATAGTAATGCTTATTATCTGATGACTTATTATTATCAACAATACGAATACCATCACGTCTAATTTCTAATTTAATATGATTTCTAAAACAATTACAACAACGAATAATTAATTCTTCAAAACTTAAAAGGAGGTTATTATAATTATTTCTAACAGTTTCAAAAGCCGATGAACAAAGTACTTTTGATTTATTAAAAGGAATTTGAAAGTAATCAAGTTCTACTTCAAGTTGTTCACAAGTAACTTTTTCTGATTCAGTTGGCCATGTAAGCTTTCCAGTTCGATAAAACTCCATAATATAATAAAATGCTTCACTATTACGATCAAAAAAATATTCATTTCCATTAATTGGATGTCTCATGCATTTGTTCCGATCTTGAAACATCGCTCCAAGTAAAGTTTCTGGTTGTGCTATGAGAATTGATTGAAAGGCTTCGTACTATGTAAAAAAAATATATAAATATAAATATAAATATTTACGTAAAAGATACTTAATAATTTATTATTATATTTCATACAATACCTTTTTTCCTCCAACATTTAGAACAATCTTTTCTTCTGATGTGTTTACTGGAACTTGAGTAAATGCAATTTGGGCTTTAACATTCTCAGATTTTAATAGTTTATCAACCGGAGAAGAAAAGTTGATTTTGATCTCAAAGAACGGACATTCATGAGAATTATAAGAATAACTACATTCTCTTTGACATTTCCATTTTAATTCTAATTCAGAAAAAGTTTCAACTAAATGCTTTTCAATTTGTTTTTCCATAGTATGCAGGATATCAAAAGCACATCCTCTAAATTCTCTAAATTGGTTAAGGCTATTTAATATATTATTATTACTAACCTTTAAAAAAATTTCATTGTTAAAGCTTACATAATTACTAATAATTAATTGTTCAAGGATTGAAGTGAATTGGTCAATTGCACTTATAGCAGTTTCTGATGCCAATAAAAAAAATACTTTTGATTTATTAATTCGAAAATAATCAATTTCTTCTTTAAGCTGTTGATAAGTGACTCGTGAATCCTTAGTTTTAGTAGGCCATAAAAGCTTTCCAGTTCGATAAAATTCCATTATATAGTAAAATGCTTCACCATTACGATTAAAAAAATATTCATTTCCATTAATCGAATTTTTAATAAATTCATTTTGATCTTGAAACATTGTTCCAAGTAATGTTTCTGGTTGAGCAATAAGCGTTGATCGAAGAGTTTCATACTACATATTAAAAAGTTAAAATTTGTAAATAGAAAATAACTAAAAATTTAATACCGCCACTGTATTGCGTTTTATTTTATACCTTTATGTCTCCAATGTTTAAAATAATTTTTTCTTCTGACATGTTAAATGGACTTGGGATTTAAGTTTGATTTTCAATGTAAGTATTAACGTACGAAGTTATGCCTAGTATAGAAAATTTTTTAAATTTTCCTTTTATATTCCTAATTTTCTAGCATGGTGGACAAGTTCGAGTTTGGAAATGATCAGCGCAATTGAATATTGAACTTTTTATATGCGTTAAAGCACGCTTTATTTTTGTGATTTTCAAAGCCTACCAAATAAATAATTTAAAAACAAAGTGACAAAAAAAGCACTTAAAAATCTACATTTTATTAAAAATAATCAAAAATAATCCCGAAATTAGAGAAGTTTTTTTAGAAACAAATATTATATGGGATCGAAGATATCTTGCGATCCAGTAGGTGGGATTTAATAATTTTATACCATTAGATTCGTCTCAATGAGATGAATCAAATGGCATCAGATTCATCAAATCATGACTGCTGGATTGTGAGATATCCTTTATATTGTAAATAAAAACTTATAAAACTGATTAAAAATTGTGCATGTGATCAATAAATTTCATACATTTATTGGGCAGATCGACCCTGAGTCAGCGTGGGAAGTTTGTGCTACGAGACTTGTCCGCCATGCGGAATTTTCTTGTATCGGTATTACAATCGTAAGCCGCATCGGCTGTGGAGTTCAAAATTTAGATCGACCATTGATTTCGAGCTGTACTAACAACGTAAAAAGTTAAAATTCATCTGAGAAAGTTAAAAATCAACGGAAGTAGTTAATATCCATTTGGGAAAGTTAAGAACAAACGGAAGAAGTTAGTAACCACTGGGAAGAGTATCAAACCAACAAAGTATACGTATAAGTGATACTTTTCGGTTAGTGATCGGTTAGGTTATAGCCGGCTATAGTCGTAGCTATGATCGTGACTGATCAGAAACTTTTAACCTACTGTTTAGCGTTAATAGTGTGTATTAGTATATCGAAAATCAACCATAACCGAATAAATGACCGTGACCGACCGAACCCATCCCTAATACTAATCATACGCGTCGATCTTTGTCAAACAATCTAATTCTGGTCGATTTACAGATCATTTCGCCTGAAAAATCCCTGGATTTTCCAGGTCGAATGATCTGCGAATTTGATCGTTCGACACGTGTAATTTTCGGTAAATGAGGCTAACTTATTTACGCATATTTTGTTGAAAGCTCTGCGAGTATTATAATTTTACTTTATATATATATAATTTTTGCGCATATTTTTAAATATGATTTCAAAGTTTGCGTGCATATCATTCATATATAATACGCGCTTGCGCCAATAAAAATTTTTTGATTTTACAACACTGGTTACAATTACTAAATCAAATGATGCAATAATGCGGGCCGAACTTTTGTAAAGCTGGTATTTTATATATAACGTTACGAAAAATTGCATGAAATCTGATTTACTGAAACTTACGTGGTGTAAGATTGTAACATAACCCTACAAGTATAATGAGTTCAATGCAAACAATATTAAGAATTTTTGGTCTGATATAAATTTTACCATTACGCATACAAATATTAGAGTATTCAATCGACAAAATTAATCAATTTACAATTATATAGCATGAATAATTCTAGTCTGTATTTTGGGAATATCTACCATCTTCTTTTCTTGATGTAAGTCATTGTGATAAATTTTGAAAATAGTAGCTGTTAAATTTTACGCAAAATCATATACTAAAGTTTTTAAAAGCTAGATAGAGATAAAAAAAAAAAAAAAACGATAGTACTAACGATTAATTTTGAAGAAAGAAAATTGGTCTCGCTATAACTCATTGTATTTTTGACATGGATTGTTAATCTCTTTTCTTTCATAAATACGTTAAAATATATTAATTAATGCGATTGGTTCTTCTTATTCATGCAGGTTTGTTACTGATACGTATCACGGCTACACAAAGCAATCAACGAAATTAATATATTGTGCGCGAATTAATAAATATACTTTATCGATATATACTATAATAAATATCAATATTCAAAGTCACTTAATTGAATATCATTAAGCATGATCGTGGTTAAGTAAAAGAAAGAAAGAAAGAAAGAAATTTTTAATTGATGATTATATTGTGATAACTTAGGCCATACAAACTTAATAAATCGGTTTTCAAACATAAAAATTTTTAAAAGTGACCCGACAATCCGTGTTTTAATTTTAATTTCAAAAATTATATATATAAAAAATATATATAATTTTTTATAGATTCTTTTAAAAAACCAACTCAGATAGTAAATATACTTATTTTTCAACTGTTTTCGATATTTTTGGGACATCTGAAAATTTTTACAGCTGTTTTCATAATTTGACAAAAAATTGACCGACAGAATATTTGTCGATTCGATAAGTTTTGATTCAGTAGTTATCATTACCGAAATCATAGACTTATCGAATCGACGGTCAATTTTTTGCCAGATGTCCCAGAATTTATGAAAACAGCCGAATCGATAAGTTACGAGTCGGATCAATAAGTTACTGATGTCGTCAACATCAAAAACTTATCGATTCGGTGTCAACAATTTTCCAATTGCCCATAAATAATGAAACAGCTGTAAAAGTTTGACCGGTAGGATTATAAAAACCGATTTATTAAGCTTGTATGGCCTTATCATTATTATTAATATCGTTATTAACCTATCCTTTTATGCATAAGCTTTTATTGCTTTTGCGTAACAGAGGCAACTGTAATGCAATTTCTAACTTACACTTTTATTGAATAAAAACAAATATATAAAGTAACATGTAATAATCAATATGTTATCTACTAATATTGTTTAATTTTGATTGATAGATAAATAAAAAACAATAATGTTTATAAAAATTAAAATGCAGACCTTATCTGGTTTATTATGAATTTCTTTAATTATATGATCAACAACTAACAAAATCTATTCATAATATTAATTGCTAAAGCTCTTCTTGCACGCATTTGCTAAAATGATATATCTATAAAATTGGCAGCGGATCCTCGTTTATTTTCATTAAAATCTATATTTTTATCATAATATAGAGAAGTTAGATTGGGATTCACACAACAAACTTTTTTCAACATAACCGAAATTTCATGATTAATTTCATTTTTTTCAAGATTAAAATAAGTCAAAGTAGTGTTCTTATAAAGAACTTCTGCTAACATTTTCACTCCCTTAAAATCAATCTGATTATTATAAAGATCTAAAGAATTTAACGTTGAATTTCTATAAAGTGCCTTTGCCAATGCTTTTCCTCCCTTAAAACCAAGCTGATTAGAGCTAAGATTTAAAGAAGTTAGAGTAGTGTTCTTGTAAAGAGCTTTTGCCAACGCTTTTCCACCCTCATATCCAAGTCGATTTGAACAAAGATTTAAAGATTTTAGTGTGGTGTTCTTGCAAAGTGCACTTGCTAATGCTTTTCCCCCTTCAAAATTAATATTATTATGATAAAGATCCAAAGATGTTAAGGTAATATTCTTGCAAAGTGCATCCGCTAATGCTTTTACCCCTTCAAAATCAATCATATTACTGTAAAGATATAAGGATTTTAAAGTTGTATTTTTACAAAGTGCCTCTGCTAAAGCCTTTCCCCCTTTAGAGCCAAGCATATTAGAGCCAATATTCAAATAAGTCAGTGTAGCATTCTTACAAAGTGCATCCGCCAATACTTTTTCTCCTTCAAAATCAATTTGATTATTATAAAGAGATAAAGAATTTAAAGTTGTGTTTTTACAAAGAGCCTCTGCTAAAGCTTTCGTCCCTTTAAAACGAATTTGATTAGAACCAAGATTCAAGGATGTCAATTTAGTATTCTTGCAAAGGGCTTCCGCTAATGCCTCTCCTCCTTCGGAACAAAGATGATTATAATTAAGCTGTAAAGAAGTCAAAGCAACATTATTACAAAGAGCTTCTGCTAAAACTTTTCCACCTTTAGAGCCGAGTTGATTAAAGCCAAGATCCAAAGAAGCCAGAGTAGTGTGCTTGGAAAGAATCTTTGCTAACGCTTTTCCTCCTTCAAAACCAATTTGATTATTATAAAGAAATAAAGTTTTCAAAACAGTATTTTTACAAAGAGCTTCTGCTAGTAATTTCCCTCCCTCTGAATTAATATAATTGTTGCTAAGATCTAAAGAAGTTAAAGTTGTATTCTTGTGAAGAATCTCTATTACCGTTCTTGTTGATTCAGAATTTTCTAAATCATCAATAAAATATTCTATAGAGATAATGGTAGTATTTTTGCAAAGATTTTCAAATATCAACTTATCACAAATAATTTCTGGAATAGTTAAATGTTTAAGTTTCTTACTTGTTCGTAAAAACATTAAAATCAAAGAACATGTAACAGAATTTAAAAGATCATATTCTATTTCGCCTCCTATTTTGTAACAAAGCCAATTTTTGATTCCATCATATAAACAATAGCCGATTGATATAGTATAACTTGCATAATCAAATAATAATTTGGAATAATTTGGAAGGATATTTTCAAAAGGGATTAATTGGGTTTGTTCTTCGGCATTTAATGCTGAAAGAAATATTTTCGTAAGAAATTTATCGTCAAAATGGGTTGTTGGCTCGCTCCATAATATTGGTATAATAATTCTACACCATTGACGGTTTACAAGAAGGCATGAAAATAAACTATTATAATTTGACTGGAGATTACTGAAAATCATATAAAAGCATTCGTTCGGTAGTTCTATCATTTTGAAAGGGATTGGCGTTAACGTTAAGTATTTTAGTATAAAAATGGATAATATATAACAATTATCAAATGTCGTGAAACGTATCACTAACACTCACGGGTCATTTTGGTTTAAAATTTTAAATTAGGGTTGGGATTAGTGATGCCTGACGAAACCATGTGATGCTAATTGTCACATGGTACAATCTATTTTGATTTTTATAAGCAATAATTAGCATCACGAGGTTGCATCACTAGTTGGGACGGCCCGTTGGGGTGTGCGGTCAACTATGTAAATCAAAACTATGTATAGATGTATACGTATCAAATTTTATATGT